AGAATTCAGAGTTCGGGCATTGTGACTGATGAGCAGACGTTGGACCAAATATGTTGGATGGCTGGAGGCGGCAACTCCTACACTACCCACTCGGCATATCGCCATCAATTCCATTAGGTCCTGACGATGGCTGGGTTCAAATCAACCATCTAGAAGGCTTGGGCCCCTGGCAATGTGAAACTATTTGCCTGGTTACTGCACCACAACAGACTTTGGGTCAGTGATCGGCTGCAGCGCAGAGGCTGGCCGAACGGTAATTTTTGCCCCCTATGCGTGAGAAATTTGGAGACGTCCAAACACCTGATGTGGGAATGTCCCTTCTCTACTGCAATCTGGCAAAACGTCACCGCTTGGCAGGGCTGCGCCGCTCTGAGCCTCCCGATGACACCAAACAGATCATCCATCGCCCATTGTCAGAGGATGATCAACCTGACACCTGAAGCTTACAAACGAGGAACAAGATCAATGCTGATGTTGGTACCCTGGGCGATCTGGAAGGAAAGAAACAACTGCGTCTTCCGAGCCAAGGTTACATCGAGTGATGATATTATCCATGCCATTAGCAGCGACAAAGAACAGTGGAGGTTAGCCGGTGCAGTCTGCCTTGAGGCCCCATTCGGGGACCCAATCATGAGATAGTTGCCTAGAGGGGTTTTGCCTTTTACCTCTCCTTTTTGGTTTCATTTCTTTTCTCTGTATCACCCCATCGATCGCTTTATCCCAATGTTTTCCGCATGCTTTTTCTCCTACATAAATGAAGCTGGCCAATCCGGATCTTTCAAAAAAATCAGCCCCCCCCCCCAAAAAAAAAACTCTCATACCAATCTCCAGTTACGAGTTAGTAGGACTCAACTATCTCATGTGTAAAAATTCCAAGTTGAACCGCCCGCTCCGCTCCTAGGGGGGCGGCACGAGCGACACCCCAGCCGCCGCCGCCTCCGTCTCTCTTCTCCTCCTTCCACCCCGCTGCCGCCGGAGGAAGCCGATGGGTAAATCCCGATCGGTGGACGGCGGTGGCGGGCTGTCGTCCTCTTTCGCTGAGGGGACCTCCGGCCTAGCACAGGGTGCGGCCCTAGACGGCCTTGGGTCTGGCGGAGATCGGAATCGAGGCGACGGTCCCGGGACTTTTTGGTGGTGGCTACGCTGCGGCGGCTGCGAGGGCAGGCCGGTGACTCGGTCCCTGGGATGGCGGTGGCGGGGCACTTCCTCCTCAAACCCCCTCCCCCCTCCCGCTCTGAGATCTGGTCGGAGCGTGCCTGGCTGCGACAGGGCTGACCCCTCCTCTACCTCGACAAGCTAGACCGCGGGCTCTCTACCAAATTGGATCCAGCGGACCGCGGGCTGTCCCCTAGATCGGATCCGGCGGTCTGTGTGCTCTCCCCCACCCTTAGTCCACGGCGGTGCCTGCTCCGAATTGCGGTGACGTTGTGTGTGTCACGGTGGTTCTCTGTTGACACCTCTCCGGTCTGCCGCCAACCTCACTCGATCGATGGTGGTGGCTCCGGCGTCGTGGTTATTGTGGCAACTTTGCTCGTTCCCTTGTGGCGGCTACTTTTGGGGGTGCACCTTAATGGCACGGCTCCGACCATGGCGGTCTTTGGGCATGTGGGGTTGTGGCGATGTGGTGGCCTTCTGCGTGTGCGGTGCGGGACGCTGACATTGCGATCCTCGGTTGGTGGTGGTGAGTTTGATCAGATTCGCCGGGCAGTGGTGACTACTGACTCTTCAGTAGTGACGTCCTATGGATCCATGACAGTGAGGTTATCGAAAAGACTTCGGGAGGTTTTATGTCTTGATCCGGTGGATGACTTTCTGTGGTGTGATACGAATAATGGATAATGACTTGACGCACAGGGATGTTTGGTGTAGTGGCGGCGGTCAAATTGTAGCTGCTGGTATTCCGGAAAAGTGGTGGTGGCAACACATGCAAGGCTTTGATGGTGGTGCTGTGAGCACCTGGTCTCGAGCTTCGGGGCGAAAGCCTAGGTCAGACCCGAGTGGTCATACCTGACAATGGCGATGTTTTCTATGTCGTTACCTTGTTGGAGGCATTGCTCTGATATGTTCAGACTATTATTCAAGGTGAAAACTTTGATTCTGGCCTTTGTGGTTGGATCCGGTGACGGCGGCGCTTGAGTGTCGCTTCCTTCCTGAAGGCGTTGCTGTTGAAGATCATCGGCCTCCTTGTGATGTCATTGGTTGGTGCAGACATGGTCTCAGTTGTAGTTTGTCGATTGCTGATCTGATCTCTTTGGAGCTTTTTACTTTTTTTTTCTTTTTCTTTTTTCCATGCCTATGCATAGCTTTTGGTTTTGTGACCTTGCTAGTTGTTGGCGTGTTTATGTGTGTGTTTTGGATTGACTATATGCATTCTAGTTATGCAGAGGCTGGGTGTGTGCTCATATTGTATCTTGTCGATGCTCTTTTTGAGCCAATAAATTCGCCCTTTATGGAAAAAAGGACTCAACTAATTCACTGAATAAAATATCTGTGCGAAAACCTCCCAAACCAGATGGAGGATCAGGGAGGCGAGAGGCAGCATACCTCGAGCGGTAGCGCACGGTGGACATGGAACCGCTGGCGGGGAGAAGCCTCCACCTGAGCTGAACTCGTTTTGTCCAGGAGCCAAGTGGCACCAGTCCAGCCATCGACGACTAATCAGGTGGGTCGTGTGTTGCTCATCATAGACTATTATTACTCAAGTGGATCCTCAAAACAAACAAAACATCAGCGTGAGATGCTGATCACAAATGATCTAACGCACCAGATTTCTGATTTGAATGTACCTATACTCATATATGTACTCTGCATCAAGATCAAAGACTATGAATACCAGTATTAATAAGGGAAAATCTACATTCAATCAGCACCAGGGGACTGTACTACAAAGAAAATGGGGACTTGAACTATTGGAGTAGAAAACTGTACCATCTTGCAGGGTCGCCATGACCTCCGTGTCGCCAAATGCCGCCATCAGGTTAGAGTGCTTCTCAACAAAGAAAGAAGACCATTGTATAGTTAAATGAGCTTTCTCCAGTATCAAGAATGGGTTACAGGGAACACATGGAAAAAAAAGGTAGACAATGGCCAAGACCATACGTACAAGATGTCAACCATCTAACATAATCCTGGCATCAGCCTGGTAAACAAATCCAGCCCAGTGTTCGCCCGCAATTCAGCACTTACTGGTAGCAGTTTAGTCCCGGAACAAATGCAAGGGGGCAAAGAGCACGTAGAGATTCTTCATTTCATATTCAAGAAATGATAATAAATTACTTTTGGTGCCATGTCGAAACGACTCAGATGCTCAAATGATAAAAATACCTTTGCCAGAAAATGATAAAGAAGCATGCTGCTGTTGCAGTAAACAGAGGCCTCGCAAGTAACAAGACACACCTCTCATAGCAAAAAATGCCTGAAGAACATGACAGTTCAGAATCCATGTAAATCAAGAGTGTTGCTTGCTGCTTGTGTTAATGGTGGCGATTCAAAACAAATACAGATTTCTGAAACAAAAAAAAAAGTCCTCTTGTCTGAAGATAGTTTCCTTGAATGAATGAGGCTAAAAAAGACTCACACCAATCTTTTTCTTTATCTTTTCTTTACCTAATATTGAAGGATGGAGACTTTCATGGTTCTCCAAACGCCACCTTGTTATATCCGTTGATTTTTTGTTAATTATGAAGATCAACGGCTAAGATTTAAAATAGAATAAAGATCCATGGACCTGTTACAGATCCGAACGCAGGGTACACATATTGTCCTGAGATTGGCTTCTGCTTGCATCGTTCAGTTTTCCTGTTTATTACACGATTGAAGTTTCCCTATTTATTAATTGATGATTACCGCCTACAATTCCCCCTAATTTCTCATGGTGATTCTCCTCCCGTGGATAGCGTCTGCCAAAGCTTTGCCCCGGTGGCGTCAATGCTAGAGAACAGATCACACCAGCCCCCGGCGGCATCACTTTCTGCCCGTTCTGTCCGCGGACAGGGCGTCGGGCATGAGCTCGTGCACCCGAGGCGAGCAGGGGAAAAAGGCGAGGTCGCGGAGGAGGATGCAGGCAGACCCGCGACGGTGACTCGCCGGAGGGCGCGTGCGAAGGAAGTGAAATGCAGCTGAGGTGTGACGTCGGCGATGGCATGGCAGCCGCGGCGGAGGGAGCAGGGAGGCTGCGGAGGCGAGGAGAGGAAGTGGCGCGGAGGAGGCTCGCCGGCCAGCAAGGTCGACGGCGGCTGGCGCGTCCATGGCATCTCCGGCTGAGGTGTGGATCGGGGAGAGAGGCTGGGGATTGGGGCTACGGTTCGATCGGTGTTGGCTGGGCTTACTGGGCGTCTGGGCCTCGAAAAATATACTCTTTTATTTGCATGATTTGATTGTTATTCCAGTGTCCTTATGTTTTGATGCGAAGCTTGTGCTGTGTTTTCCAGCAAATACAACAATGGTAGGAATTGACTTGAATATCGAAAATCATCGGCCAACATATCTATAGGCAGCAAGGCTGCATGCCACGCGAAACAAATAGAGTAATTAATTGTACTTGTTCCACAAACATACCAACATTGTCTGCCTCTTATAGCTTGGCTTTCCAGAGATACACTGACACAGATTACAGAATACAAATAAGCACGCACACAAGTACGGAACATCTTCTCACGACAAGGACGCTGATCATAAATTTCCACCAACCTATTGGCTAGAGGTAGATGGCACCATATCATGCAGTTTTTTCACGAGGGACGCAAGGGTACACCTGTCAAGCTTCGAAGGCGTGGTTACGTGGGTATACCTGTCAACCTTCGACGGTGTGATTGCAAAGGGTCGGTTGGCACAGTGGAATACCATGGAGTGGTCAAGATCAAGCATGTTCTTGGAGGCACTAGAGAGTGCCTGTATCAAGCTCTCAAGGTCCCCTGGTTTGATGAGCATGCGGCAGTTGTGTCCCATCAGTAATATGGCCATCTTACTGATAGCCTTACACAGTAGCAGGTTTTCGACTTTGGGTTGGTCACCTTTTTTCACTACCACATCCTTGAGTTTGTTAAGAAAGCTAGGTGCATCCAACAAAGGTGCTAAATCGTGGTCTGGCATCATGTCATAGACAACCATGCCACAAAGGGATAACAGGGATGATAGCAAGTTCGCTGACATATTTGATTTCATGACTGCCTGGAATCTCTCTTCCACCTTGTCCTGCTCATTGATTTCTTTTGTGCCATCACATTGTCTTTCTCTATCAATTTTTTGTTTGCCAGACACATCTTCCTTGTCTTCTTCTTTATGTGTTTTGCGTATAGAACTAAATGTTTTTCTAAACACCTACGACAATAATGAATAACAATCTTAATTGATTTGAAGGAGAACATTAAGTCAAGTATACCGCTAATAGTTAATAAAATGAAGGTTAAATAATACTCCCTGTAAACTAATATAAGACCTTTTAGATCAGTAATTTAGTGATCTAAAAGCTCTTATATTAGTTTACAGAGGTAGTACTTGACAAGGAGTAGTTACCCTTTTCTCATCGTTTTGTAGATGAGAGGAGGAAGAAGAGATAATTCTTTTGCCCTGGCCATTATCAAGTAGGCTTTCTATGTCACTTTCTGGCTTGTCGGAACCATGGTTTTCATTACGTGTTTCAAATTCACAAAGAAGTATTTCTCCATTCACCTGCAATGACAACGAATAAACAGTCTTAATTACTTAGGTCATAACTCAAGTGTGTTGAAGACAATAAGAAAAATGAAGACTACACACATTTTTCTCATTGTTTTGCCCACCAGAGGAGGTTGAAGAGCTAATTCCTTTGCCCAGACCATAATAAACTGGGCTTTCTTTGTCGGTTTCTGGTTTGGCCAGCTGGATTTTTTCATTAGATGTTTCATCTCCACGACAAAGAATTTCGCCAATCACCTGTGACCACAATGAATCAAAAAAAATCTTGATTGCTTAAGACTTTTTTTTCAACCTAGTACTTTGTTTAATAAAATGGTTGTGTGCATCATGTGATGCAGAGGCCGGGGATCATCCTCCTTTTCGAAAAAAAGTTTATTGATAATAATTAGATAAAAAGTTGCTTCAACTATTTGACAAGGAATATTGACCTCGAGTATTGCTTTGTTAAGTTTTCCAAGGTATCCATCATCCTTGATGTAATGAGCAAACAGATGGTTGAGGATTTCAGCTGCTGCTTGTTTACATGTCTTGTTTTTGTCTTGTAGAAGTACTTTAGTGAGATTATTAACATGGTCACTTGTTGGTAAGACAATTTTGGCATCACTTGTTCTCCCATGGAAACATATCTTCGACAGTACTTCCCCAGCATATTCTCTGATAGAGGAGCTACACTTGTTATCTTTCACGAAGATGTCCACCAACATCCTAACAAATTCGTCTCTGTAGCTTCTTTCTTTTTCTTGAACAATAGAATCTTTCGATCCATTGCTTTCAGTAGTATCCATGTACAGATTTGTGAGAACCCACATGGCTCTTTGCTGTAGCTCTTCATTACATTTATTACAGCTAAGAATCCTCATCAGAGTACTGATTGCTTCTTCACAACTAGAGATTTCACGACGAAGTTTGGTCCCAGTTTCGCCTGAAGCACTAGTTAATTGTCCCAACACTTTCACTGACCCCTCCACTATATCGGACCATGTACCATGATCTTTGGTGGTGTGGTGGAGTAGGTCATAAGTCAGAGGCGCCATGATCTTGGATACCAAATCTGGGGTGTTGTTAATGACTCTACAATTCTTCCCATTTGCTGCAAGCTTTTGGAGGATACACATGCCTTGCTGCAACAATGCCTTGTATTCCTTCCGAAGTTCACCAGTGGCATCATCACCACCGGTTACTGAATGGGTCATAAACAAATGTTTCTCATATTCTTGTTGGTATGGCTCAGCTATAGTGTATTCTTGGAGTGGCATGATCAGGGAAGATATGTGTTGAATCCCCTGAGGAAACTCCTCCAAAAATATACTGAATGCAAGGCGCTCCACTATCACCGCAGCTTGGTACCTTGCATCCCTGTCATGTATGCCTTTTGAATCCAGCGTCTCCAGCAGTTTGTTCAGTACATGTCTCGAGGATGATGTAGGCAAGATCAAATGCTTCATAAGCATGCCTTGCCCACTGAGAATGTCCTGCTGTTCGTGATAGTCAGCACTACCTTGTATGGTACGCTCTAGTTTCCTCTCCACAATGCATATGGATGTGTATAACATCTTCACTCCGGCAATACAGTCAATAGGAGAATTGGAACCGATCTTGTCTACAGCAACTGTGATGAGGTTCCTCCCCTTTATAAATGAGGGGTCCTTTTCACACCCCCTCCTTGTTTCGCACAAGTAGTCATAAACCACTTGAGCATCCGAGGGATTGCATTTATATTTATCATCTGCCACATCCCTAACCAACGAGTTTGTCATCCGACGCAAGAGGAATCTATAGAAGAAGAGCACTCCTTGCAGCAGAGCAAGATAGTACAAGGTGTGCATTGCTGGAGATAGATTGGATGCTTCTCCATTCGATTCCGAGTTGGAGTAATCGTGCTCTATCAGACGCCACAATGAAATTCCTCCAGAGATGGATATCCCGAGCACATATATAACTGCCAAAGGGCACAATACTACGACCAACACTAGTACGTGAACTAACGTAAAAATACATGCCAATAAAAATTTTAGAAGAAAAGCCAGAGTCAAAGCCAACAAACTGAGATAAGATTCCATCATGTTTATGTCAATTTCAGTTTGAATGATGCCATCCACGCCATCCAATCCAACCGAGAACGATGAAAATATTGCTTCCGTGATATAGCTTAGTTTTTCATTGAGAACAACATCAAAGATCCTGCAACACATTTGTTTTATGAGTCATGATATATATACACACTATCACATGGTAGTATATCAGACATGAGTGTAACTAACACTGGGCGGTAGGATGTATTCTCCTATACATACATGCGTTAATTGAGACCGGTAGAGATATGTTTACTTTGCAATTCCTCGAAACGATTTCTAGTAGCTTTGACTTTGATTGGCACTATCTACCACCGCGGGGAAGATCCGGCGGGATCTTGCCCAGGGTGAATAGCAAAACTCTGGAAGTGAGTAATGTATCCATCAGTGACAAGCAATCAAATTTCACATGAGGTCGAAAATTGATGGTTTTAGATTGGTTCTGGTTGTGGTGTATGGTGCTGCACAGCCTGAGTTCAAGCCTGACTTCCTAGCAGATCTGCTGAGGATTTGCGGGGATGAAATGTTGCCCACCCTGGTTGGTGGGTACTTTAATATTATTAGGCAGAGATAGGAAATGAATAATAACAATTTCGATGGGAGATGGTCACTTATGTTTAATGCTATCATTGAAAGTCTGAATCTAAGAGAGATTGATCTCTCTGGCAAACAATATACTTGGGCAAACAACTTAGAAAATTCAACATATGAGAAATTGGACAGAGTTCTAGCCAACATAGAATGGGAATAGAAATCCCCTCTGGTAACGGCGTGAGAGTTACAGAGGTGGCTTTCCGACCATAGTCCAATTCTTGTTAACTCAGGGTAGGCGACCCACGTAAGCAACAAGAAAATTTTCTCTTTTGAAACTTCGTGGTATGAAAGGGAAGGGTTCCTTGATTTGATTTCCAGGGAATGGGCGAAAGAAATCGAGGTAGGTCAAATATTGAATGGTAGTAATATGAAATTAGGCACCTGCGACAGTACTTGCGGGGAAGGGCAAAAAATGAAAGTGGCATTTATAAGATGGAGAAAGAAAGAGTTCTCAATATTATCAATGACTTAGACTTAAAAGACGAGGTCAATGTGCTTGGCATGTTGGAGAGTGTGGCCAAGAGAGAGGCTGAGGTGAACCTACAAACGCTTCTTAGATAAGAAGAGATGTAGTGGGCTCTCAGAGCAAAGGTTGGGCAAGTGATTAAGGGTGACAATAATAATCTGCTTTTCCATATGATTGCGAATGGGGAACATAGAAAAAAGAGAGTTATTCAGTTAGAGCAAGATTAGGATACTATTGCAGGACACAAGAACCTAAAATTGTACATAACAGATTATTATAAAAAACTGTTTGGGGCACCAGAGCAGACGTTTGTGTCGCTAGATGAGCAAATGATTGGAGATTTGCCATAAACGGGAGCCCGCGAGAATGAGATTCTGCCGGTAGTGTTTTCCGAGAAGGAGGTATTCAAGGCAATAGCGCAAATGAAGAATAATAAGGCACCGGAGCTGAATGGCTTTCCAGCTGAATTTTGTAAGCAGTGTTAGGAAATCATCAAAGGAGATCTTTTACCCATGTTCCATGATCTGTTTAATGGCCAATTATAATTATTCCATCCTAACTTTGGAACTATAATGTTGTTGCCAAAGGAAGATGAGGCAGTTCCCATCGAGCAGTTCAGAACGATATGTGTGTTCAATGTGAGCTTTAAGATTTTTACAGATGTTAGTACTAATAGACTTACACATATTGCGCATAATGTGGTGCAACCAACTCAGACGGCCTTCATGTCGGGATGAGATATCATAGAGGGTGTTGTCGTTCTTCATGAAACTTTACAAGAAATCCACTCGAAGAAACTAGATGCGATTGTCTTAAAAGTGGACTTTGAGAAGGCGTATGATAAGGTCAAGTGGCCATTTTACAGAAGGCCTTACATATGAAGGGTTTTGATGCAGCCTGGAGGAAGCAAGTAGAATCCTTTGTACAAAATGGTCGACATAAGTCGTTATTTCTCGACACAGAACGGATTGATGCAGGGTGATCCAATGTTGCCAATCTTGTTAAATATCGTTGCTAGCAGTCCTAATTGGTTGGTCCAAAGAGGATGGTCAGGTAGGTGGGATTATCACTCATCCCATTGATGGTGGAGTTTACATTCTTCAGTATGCAGACGACACTATTATTTTCATGGAACATGATTTGGTAAAGGCTAGAAATATGAAACTACTCTTATGTCTCTTCAAACAATTGTCTGGGTTGAAGATCAATTTTAGCAAAAGCAAATTGTTTTACTTTGTACGCGCCAAGGAAGAGCATGACAATTATAGACAGTTGTTTGGGCGTGAGTTGGGGTCCCTCCCACTTAGATAACTGGGAATACCAATTCACCACCGAAAGCTCACCAACAAACAACGGAAGTGCATAGAGGACCGACTGAGAAAAAGATTAGCTGCTGGAAGGGCAAGCTTATGTCTTATGGGGGTCAACTAATCCTGATAACTCAGTTCTTCAAGTATGTCGATGTTCCTGTTGTCCTTCTTTGAGGTAGAGTGAGGAGACTAAATCAAAATATAGGTTGGCAAAGTGGGATATAATTTGCAGGCTGAAGGATCAAGGGGGTTTAGGTATAGAAAACCTTGGATAAAGAACAAATGCTTCCTCGGTAAATGGTTGCACAGATTTCTGTTTAGGACGAGGGAGTTTGGATATAGTTATTTCGTAACAAGTATCTAAACTCCAAGATTCTTGCCCAAGTTTCAGCGCAACCAAATGATTCACCTTTTTGAAAGGGGCTCATGTGGAAAAAAGTAGCCTTTTTGAATAGGAACAAATTCAGTGTTGGGAATGGCAATTCAACTATGTTATGGAAAGATATGTGGCTAGGGGACATTGCCGCTAGCCATACAATATCCAACCCTCTACAATATAGTACAATGAAAAGAGGCTTTCGTTAATACAGTTCTAGGATCGGCTTATTTAATCATACAGTTCAAAAGTTCGCTTGTGGCGGAACGATGGGATAGATGGCTACATCTTGTACTAAGGGTGATGCAGATCAGCCTTTTTGATGAGCCACTACACTGGAAGCTTTTGCTGTCAGTGGTATTCTCAGTGCAGTTTGTGTATACAGACTTGATAAATACTGGTAAAATCCCAAAATCACTACATATTTGGGAAATTAAGATTTTCGTACAAAAAGAAGTGGTCCTGACTAATGATAACCTGACAAAACGGAAATGGGAGGGTAGTAAGCGATGTTGTTTCTATGATGGGGGTGAATCAATCCAACATTTGTTTCTTGATTGTCCGCTTGCCAAGCTATTGTGGCACACTGTGCATGTGGCTTTTTACGTGAGCCCACCTGATACCATAAAAATCCTTTTTGGCACTTGGCTAAACAGGGTAGAGCATAAGTTAGCGGCGCATATTCGAGTAGGGATGTGTGCATTACTTTGGGCCATATGGAATTGCCGGAATGACGGGATTTTTAACTGACAAAACATCACAATTTTTTTGCAGATAATCTCTAGAGCAACTGGCTGGATCCATATGTGGTCGTTACTTAGCCATGCAGAAACCAAGGAACATATGGCGTATGGGTGCAAGTGCAACCATGGTAGATGTTAGCGCGGTATACCTACAACCGGTTTGGATGATGGTCCAACTATATGATAGGTGTATAGGCATCTAGTTCTATGTTTTGCCCGTTGTGGGTTTGAGTTCTCCCTTTATTTATCTTTTGATGAGTTTTTTAATCGTACTACACGTTTGTTGGATCAATTGGTTAATAAGATGAGTGCATGCACCGCTTTGATGCAGAGGCCGGGCATAATCCTTCTTTAAAAAAAATACGTGTGTATTATAAATATAATATATATAAAATGCCATGAAAAAACTGACCCAGCTGTTTGTACAAGGGTGATGAATGCCAAACACCAAAAATCCTTTTTATGGAGCATAGAGACGAAGCCACCGAGAAGTACGACCGTGGTCCAAGTAAGGACGAGAAAGCCCAAACCCTTGACGGCCATGGATAGGTAGCCCATCAGCACAGAATAGTTGTTGATAACATTCACTTCTCTCCATTGCTCGTCGTCAAGAAGCTGTTTTAGACGGTCCGTCATGATTTCCCAGGCCCCTGAAGAATGCGATATATTTTTAAATACAACTATGGGCGTGTGCATAGGAGAAGACAGAGGTAGGTATTTCCTTTCAAAAAAAGAATGCGCATATGAATGTACACTTAATATAAGCGAAAAAAGATCGACGGGACTGGCTAGCTACAACATTTCTTGTGCAAAAAGTAGAAGAAGAAGAAGAAGAAGAAGAGAGAGGACGTATGCCTTGCAGGGACTGATGAGCTGACCGGACCACCTGTAGTGTAGGCCTGAAATTAACTGCTGCAGGCGCCGACCAAGATCGAGAGCGAGTTGCTTCTGCTAGCTGCCCCTTCACCTCGACCCAGCAGCTGGCGGCCAAGCGTGATGTGGTGTAGGTGATAGATAGATAGATAGATAGATAGACCTGGGTGAGGTCGCAATTTCGTATGGTGAGTTGGTGACTGACTGGGTCGCAAGCGCCTGCGCCCACACGATCACATTGCGCGGAGGCGACTTGGCGTCAACCCCCGGCCCGGTGCTCTCTGCGTCACACAAGTGCGTCCGCGGCTCCGCGCCATAACATCATTCCACAGTACCAACGAAGGAGCAGTCTTCTTCTTCGGTTGACTTGACTGGAAAAGCATAATCGGTCAACACCTCTTCTTCGTCTGCCGCACAGGTACCATCCAGCCCTACGGTACTCACCATGCCCGGCAAGTGTTCAGTAAAATGCCTGCGCTAATTTAATTTTTGTCCCTTATTTCTTGAAGCAATGGATTTGGATATGAAGTACATTTACGAGCACTATCTTGAGTCGCCCGACGAGGAGGACTACACGAATGCGAAGAGGATGATGCAGGTGGTCATTGCAAACCCAGAGCATGCGGAAGAGCATGTTCCCAATTTCAAGGGATTGATCAAGGGTCAACAAGTGCTCAACCGCAACAGGCGTGGCCATTTGATGCTAATGGACGACTACTTTACCATTGATGCCCTATTCGTTGACAATTTTTGCCGATGCTTTCAGTTGCGAAAAAATGTCTTCAATCGTCTCTAACATCTTGAAGAAGGATGTTGTCCAAAGAATTTGATTCTCTGGTTATCAAAAGTGCACGGCCGCACTGCGAATGCTTGCATGTGGCACGGTCGCTGATTCGTGGGACGAATACCTAGAGGATCTTGGAGTGTCTAAAGCTAGAGGGTGGCCATGTTTGCTCAGATCTCTTGACTGTATGCATCGGAGATGGAAGAATGGCCCAAAAGATCTACAAGGGAAATATCAGGGTCATGTTAAGAAGCCCACCATCATTCTTGAAGCAGGTTCATCACATCTTTGGATTTGGCACGCTTTCTTTGGCATGCCCGGGTCTCACAATGACATCAATGTGCTGCAGCGATCACCATTGTTTGCTGGGCTGACTAAAGGGAAAGCTCGTCCTTGCTACTATACTGTAAATGGGCATGAATACAATATGGGCTACTATCTGGTTGACGGTATCTATCATCTGTGGGCTACCTTTGTTAAGAGCATCACTAACCCACTTGGTCAGAAAAAGTTTCACTTTGCCCAAAAACAAGAAATAGCTAGAACGGATGTTGAGAAGGCATTTGGAGTTCTGCAAGCATGTCTTGCAGTTGTTCGTGGACCTGTAAGACAATGGGATCCAGAGACCTTGTGGGAGGTGACATGTTGTGTGATCATGCACAACATGACTGTGGAGGATGAGGGTTAGGATGTTATCGTAGCTCTTGAATTCTAGAACATGGTTGAACCTATCAAACTTTCAAAGAAGAATTCGGCTACATTTAATGAGTTTGTTCCAATGCATCAACAAACTCGGCATCGAACAACTCATGAGCAACTGAAGGAATATTTGATTGAGCATCTCTGGGCGGTTAAAGGGGAAAACTAGTACAACCATTCTTCATAGGGCTTGAGGAGGAATTTTTTTCACGTACATCATTAAGACCACTTCCCCCACATGGGAACAATCATTTTCACCAAGCTTCATTTTACAAGATTCTTCAATGCGCCTTGTGGACTTGTTGACTCTACAAGCATGGGAGTTCGAAGCATATCCAACAAATATGCCCTCATGAGCTTTAGTTTTAAATTTAAACAAACAGAAACCTTTCTTGAGAATGAAAAACTTACAACAAAACACACGAAAGTACTTGAGGTTCGACTTGCTGCCAGCAACTATCTCATTTGGACTTCTCTTCAAGATCTTGCAGAGATAGAGTTGGCTGGTTGCATGACGGGCAGTGTTTATGATGTCGGCCCAAAAGTTATACGGAGACTTGAACTCCACCATCGTCGTCCTTGTCAGATCCATAAGAGTTGGGTTCTTCCTCTCCACTGCACCATTTTGTTGAGGGGTATAGGTAGCGGGATATTGATGTTTGAACCCCTCGTCACTAAGAAACTCACCAACGTGTAGTTCTTGAACTCGATGTCATTTTCACTCCTTATAGCCAATCTCTTTGCATTGTATTCACGTTGAGCTCCATTGGAAAAATCTATGACTCTTTATTGCGTCTGAATTTTCTCTTGGAGAAACACACCCAAGTATATCTTGAATAGTCATCACCAATAACCAAGCAATATTTCCTCCCACCAAGAGTATCAATGGTTGGAGGTCCAAAGAGAACCAAATGAAGGAGCTCCTAGGGCCGCTTGGAGATGATAATATTATTCACGGGATGTTTCTTCTCATGTAGCTTTCTGAAAGTGCTAGTTATCGACTAGAGGGGGGTGGATAGACAATTTTTATGGAAGTATTCGAAACAGGCAATGTATTCATAGATGCAGAAGCTAAACATGAATTAAACAATACATGTATGAAGTAAATTTACCCTAGACATGCGAAGTGAATACATCAAGTACATTAAGTAACCGGGAACATAGAGCGCAGCTAGCTTGAAGACAATAGGCTTGCTAATGGTCCGAGATGATTATAGGCTCACGCTTCGGCCCATATATAGCGTGTTACGGGCCGGCCCATTTGTGTAGCTTAATTTCTTTTTATATAACTCTTACAGACCGATAACGTATTAGGCCGTTGAGCTCTATTGAAGCTTCCAGCCTAAATTACAATATACTTACTAAGAATAAAAATCTACACTATACAATAAAGAAATTACATCATATTACATCCACTTGGCATCAAATTTCGCCACCAGTGATAATAAAGCGCAACCAGACCACAGATTACATACACGGTGTATCAAAGGTCGCCACCAGTGCAAATAAATGCGCCAACAAAATAATATACAAAACCGACAGCACTTCAACACAGTTCAAGAAACGTTAGCCCTGCCCCGGAGCTACAGATCAAGCAGCTAAGTAAGCTAATGAGACCTTAGTTGTCTGAACCCTTATATCCTCCATCTCTAGCCACTTAGCAATAAATCACGCACGGGTGTCCTCTGTGATCTTCGTTAGAGAATGGACTTCAAGTCGGTGATGAGCTAAACCAAGTCTTTCCGCTTGAAGTCAGGCAGCAACTTCACCAAGCTTGTGTGACAGCTATTGGTGAGTAGCTTGAACTCACTATCTTCATTAAGACATGACTTTTGGGTCGTCTCGCTCTCTTCAAGATAGTTTGCCTTCTTCGTTGCAATATAAATGATATGTACCAGCAATGGGTTTGGCTCACTATCTTCTTTACAGTTCTGGCTGGTGTTAGAGATATAACTTTGAAAGAGAAATAAGAAGACACCACGGCCCAGACTCAGCACCTGCAACTGACACCATGAACATTTTGGTAACCTCTCGATGAATTTCGCCATGTTCCCTTGAACTTCATTTCATGTCAGCTCAAATATTCGCACGCTACATAGGCTCGTCATATGGTATCCTTTCCTTTACATAGTTACCCCTAAGCTTAAGGACTTCAAGTGAGCTCAAGTTTCCCAGCTATGCAGGAAACATGTCATGTATGCCGGTCTACTGAAGGATGAGATATTTGAGGCCCGTTGAGCCCCAAACCCAGCTAATATTGTCCAACTGCATTTTAATTGAATTGCTAGGATGTTGAGGATCTTGAGCCTGGTGAGGTTCAAAGGGGACACAAAGTGGCATGTGTTATTTACCGAACAGGTGGATAACCTGGGGACCTCAAGAGAGGCCAGCATGCTCACTCTGTCAACCCAATCTATCACGGTGCAAAGGTTCACGCAGGGCGACCCTTGGCCATGGCAAAAGGTGCGGTGGCCTAGGTCCCAATACAACTACATACCTAAATAAATTACGAAAAATCTGATTTACAGAACATGACGTGAACACTGTTATGGGGTAGACAGGGGACATTTGCCCCCCCCCCCCCCGGGGCGGAGCACTGCACATGGTGTATTTATTCAATAGTTATTCATGATTGAGTACATATATTTATAATCGTAAGTATCATGTAATCAAATATACATGATATATTAAGACATTATTTTGTAATTAAAATTACATTTTTCATGTGTTACTGATGAAAGTATTTATATTACTTTGTTATAGTTCATTGTAGTTCACAAAAGTCTTTAAGTCGGTCAAAAAAGTCTTTAAGATTTTTCTCACATTGTAGTAAGAATGTTTTGCTATCTTGCAAAGTTTGAAGTTCATATGTTGTTTTATTTGGAAGAAACAAAAAGAGAAAATTTCATGTAGTAAGGTAGTTGTCTAGCACGGATCTCGAAGCTATATTCGAGGGTAAAGATAGGAGGTGTCCATGAGCCCAAGCTCTAAAAATCCACGTCCGTAGTGGTTCGCCTGTGTGTGTTGTTAGCGCTCTCTTCTAGTTTTATCGTTTTTATTCTTTTGATCAGCTTCTGAGGTCCTCCTCAATACCTTGTATCGTGTGGCTTATTGGCTTTATAATATAAAGCTGGCGAAAGCCTGATTCGAGCGTAGTCGTTCAAAGTATACTACACTTAGTATATTTTGCCATATATCTGTATATAGGAATTTTTGCAGCAAGTTGTTGTATAATTGACGTTTATCGCATAGCATGTATGCAACGACCTGGATTTGGAAA